TTTCCTTTTGTCAGCAAACACCGTGAAAAACTAAAATGAAGTAAATAAAGACACAAGCATTCATGAGCACGGATGACTATACAAAAGCTAAACAAAATGTCCTTTACAAATAAAAATACAATTACATACCGTGTGCGCCTTCTAACCAGAAATGTTTAGGCTTTGCAGTCTTTTAAAGTTCTTCACAGACGCGTCTCCTTCATCTGTGTCCTACCGTTGGTACTAGCGTCTGGCAGCACGTTTTTATTGCTCCAAGATATGCCAAAACAAAATAAAATAAGGCTAAAAAATAAATAAGCAGACATCTGCTGAACAAATAAACATTTACAGGGCTATAGAGACCCCTACCAACAAAGTGCCAAAAGGTACTGAAAATACTGAAATTAAAAAAGGCAAAATAAAAACAAAAAAATTAACGTCATGTCCTGGTTTGACCGTCTAACCTGTATGACATGTGAACACTGCATGCTGAACACTCAGCGCAATACACAATTAGACCAGTAGGTGTCAGTAACAGAGCATAGAATCTGAACACATTTCAAAATAAAACATTTTCTCTGTAATTACAACAAATCCTGTTCAAAGAAATATAATGTTCTGCGACAGCTACAGTGATACCAGAAGACAATTTTCTCACCGCTGTCGCTCAACACTCGTAATATAGGTACTTCTAATGGAGAATAAAGTCTGATAAAAATTCCTATCCCCAACCGCGCCTGCTCACGTCGATTCAACATGTGGAATCGGCCAAAAAAAGGCCCACTGGGGCCGAGCAAAAACTTGGGCGATGATCTCTCACCGACGGCCGAAGGTCTCTTTGGTGTGTCAGGGACTTAAGGAAAGGTTGGTTTAGCATTTCATTCTGATAAGGACAATTCTAAACAGTTCCCCCTCAACATTATAACGCATCCTTCAATAGCAGATACACATGCACATGGGCTTTTCCTAATATCACTTTATAATTACCACAGAAACACACAGTAGAGGGAACCCAAGTCTCCAACTATTCATTTTTGTAACTCATCGGATCAAGTTCTGCTGCACTCTTTATGATGGATGACATTACAGTTCTCAACCAGCTCAACTTGGTTCCAAAATGTTGTGATGATGAATCTTGCATTGACCGTACAGATGCATCAGAATTCAAGCAAAAGAGTGATTCAAAATAAGTCATGAACATCAGGCCCTACTAAGGTCTTAGAGAGACAGGACAGGTGAGCAGAGTCATTAGGAAAAAGGTTGAAGACAACACAGAAACAGCTTGTGTGCAAGCACTGACATGTAGCATTTTGATTTGGTCCCGTTATTGATAAACACTTGATATATTTTAATTTTTTTAATTATGCATGATTGATTTAATCTTTTGTGATGTCTTTTAGCTTCCATGAAGGCGCTATCAGCCTCTGATTTATGAGTGATTGTAAGAGAGGTGTCCTGTGAGTTTAGATTATATATTCTTAATCATATTCAGGAGGGTAAAGGTAATTTTACCTGCACCGAGGATGACGAGGAAGGCTGTATCCAGAGAATTCAACTTTTATTACTTTGGTCACCTGTGCTACAAGCGATAGCAGACTGGAACCTCAAAGATACCTCATTTACAGTAAACATGGCTGAACAATGATAAAAGAGAAAAAAACAGTTTGAATTTGAACCAAAAAACAAACAGGCCTAGGTAATGTTAGGCTGTGTTCACACTTGATTTCTTTTTTCAATTGCCAGCGCCTTTTTTACATACAAGCCTATGGAAAAAGGAAAAAGGTTGACACCTTTTTAAAAAGCGGACGCCTTTTCAAAAAGTGCTGCTGTAAATGCATCTTTTTGTCTTCATATATTTTTCATTTGCAGCACATTTCCTTTGTTTTGTTGTTGTTTTTTGACTTTCGAATTTGTCTTTTTAAAAATTTGCACTGCTTTTGACTTTGCCACCTGTTTCTCCTGATGACAATCTCTTTCACCAGAGAATGGTGGTTATCCTTTTGGCCACAACAGAGAGCAGCTTCAAGGACTAGAAAACCAATGAACAGCGATTGGAACCATGTTTGTAAACTGGAATGCTTGATGTCTTGTTCAGTTGTACTGCAGGAGAAAAGGCAAATATTAATGCAACAATACCAAGGATGATGAATTTGTGAGTGTGTGTGTCTTTGTTGACTGCAGAAACATACAACTGTACAGTGTAAAGTAGTCAGATGACGCAGTAGAGAGGAACCTGTGCTGCAAAACCTGTTCTGGATTAGCCATGGTTCAAACATTGCAATGTAAACAAGGAAGCACACAAAAGTTGTTCTCAGATCAGAGATAAGGTCAATAACCCACACCTTTGTTCAGAACCCCATACTGGTCACCGCATCTCAAGGCTTCTGTGTGTTGATGACCATTTAAAGTGAAAATGGTAACGTCTTTCCCGGCTGTATAGTAGATATGTGAATGTTAATCAGAATTTGGCAATTGCAATACAATAAAAAAAACTTAACCTGAAAACTATTAAAAAATAAATATTGAAGTCAATACATTGGAAATGAAAACAGTATTAAAAATTAGAAACTGCATTCATCATTTCATATCCCACCTTGGCATGCTGAAAAATGTATTTTGGCGTAAAAAAAATTCAAGTGATGTCATCATTCTCTGCAAGCAGGCAACCATTGCCTTGGATGTAATTTGAGGCCATGTAAAACTGGTTAGGAAGATTTGCATGTTGGTTCCCACTCATATCATTCTGCATGCAGTCCTCCAGCAAAGCATGCTCACTCATGTTTTCCTACAGCCATTGCCTGTGGGCCTCTCTCTCTCTGTGAGTGTGTTTCAGCTGTTCTCATCAGCTGGTCACATCTATTGCAGCACTCTGACACAACCTCATTGTTAGCCTATGATATCACTGAATCCATTTTATAAATGACTTGTCCAGCTCAGTCATCTTGTAGTCACGTGTGAAGCTCCATCTCCATCAGCTGCATCATTATATGAGGAGGATGTATATTGTTGCTCAGTCCAGTATATATCCCTGTGAAGTCTTTGTAAAAAAAGACTTTTCCACATGACTTCATAACATAAACCCTTAATCGCTGGACGACTACTTCATTTACCTGACTTAGTTTTCTCTTCTGACTGAAATAAGAATAAGATACAAACAGGTTAGACCTTGTATTTCTATTTGTAGACCGCAATGTGAAGGTTTAAAAGCTCCACTTAGGCTACCACACCTAGAAAATACAGCACCCACTGGTAAGACACACAACGCTGTTTGTATGTTCTGCATCAGCATAATTTACCATGAAAATGCAGGAAAAGTGCGTTTTGAGATTAGAATTATGAAGCCATTTTTTCAGAGTAAATGTTAATAGAAATCCAGGAAACTTTTCAAGGTCGGCCATGCAAAACAGGATATAGTGTCCTACAATAATGCATGGAACAAGAGGAGTGGCACCGAGCCGCCACGCGCAGCCCTGAATCCAAACCAACAAGGGCATGAACACGTCAGTGCCAAGTTCCCAAACGTGCCATAAACTGGACCAGAGGTTGATGTTCAAAGGGCGGAAACATCAGCAACAAAACACAAGTGAGAAACAGTTCCGTCTTCCTTAACGCAGCTGTTTTTTTTTGTGTTTTTTTTTTATTGACATTTTATTGTTGCTTGGAATATTTTGTGTTGCATGTGGCAGTGAAGCACTGCTTTTGACGTGCACTCCATCTATTCTTGACAGAAATTTACCAAGAAGAATATTGCAATTGTACAGCTTGTGTTTCCGAACACTTTATTGGCAAATAGGTTCGATATTTGGAAAAAAAAGTTAGAGGCACAATTAGTGAAAATCGGCGAACAGAGCTGCGCAACTGCATTTCTATAGATGCTAAACAACGCAAATGTTGTTTTTTTTTGTTTGTTTGTTTTATAGAAATGATCCTGTGCACCCATGGTCTTAAATAAGGTGCGGTCAGGTCAAGTCAAGTGGATTGGCGCATCTCTATTGAAGGAGTATTGAACGTCTATCCCAATGCCGGATAAAAAGATGATCTAAACGCATGGGCGCAGTAGCTGTTATTTTATTTTATTCTAATAGCTGTGTTATTCCCATGCATGTGCCTTCATGGGCGGGTTCACATCATATTCACAGTCAGACTCTGCTCGTTGTGCACGCAGAGACGCAGTAGCCGGAGCGCTCTGACCATCGGTGCAAATGCTCCTTCGTCTGTAATCTCTGGAAACATCTGGAAACGCCCAGCATTAGCACCGATACTTAGCCAGAGGTCTGGGAGATCTTTTGTTTCCCCGTGTCCTGTAATCATCATGTAGGCGGATCGATCCTGGCGTGTCCGGATATTTAAATAATAAATGAAGCTACGGCTGTGCCTCATGAGTTAATGCGCAGCCTCTCCCGGCTGGAGAGATTCAGAGATTACAGATGATAGCGTATTGGTGAATCAATGTATCTTAATTATACGTGACCGAAGTGTGTTGTTTTTGTATCGGGGGCAATCACATAACATGCTGTTCAACATGCAAAAGTTGAGCTCGTCTTAGATGCACTGCATGGCACCATGCTCTTTCAACCACAAAGCCTTCTATAAATAGTTTCCAAAATGTTAAAAACTCCAACTACTCTGTGCCTTAATCTGGAATTACAATGCTTAAAGAGGTGTTAGAATAAACGGCCTTTAGAAGTCTGTTGTACAATGAACTGAGCCTTTATCCTGAAAAATCACTCTTTGTTTGGTAAACAGTGAAGCTATGACTTGCAAAGAAGAAGAAGGAATACATTTGAAAATACTCTCAGTAATCTTTCCTTCACTCTCAGTAACCTTTTGTAACCTTTACTCTCAGTAACCTTTAGTATAGCTCTTGTTTGCTTATCTTTTTTTAAATGAGTATTGCAAAGATGAATCTGGTCTTGCAACATGTGATCTTTTAGAGAACTCATGAAGCCTCCAGCCTACAGTTTTGTTGTGTCATCTGACTTGCTCGTTATGCAGGTGGAGCCGAAACATTTTGTTGGTGAGGTTAAATCACACGTTGCATGAGTGTGCAAACAGGAACAGGTCCCATTAGTCCCAGACTCCCAGTACACTTGCTGGTTTCAGTAAATCATGCCATATTAGACCCCCAATATGAATAGCTACTATATGGCTGTTATGCAAACTTCAGAAGTAGGCTACATGTTTTGCCTAAAATGGGTTTTTTTTACGTTGCTGTGTTCTTCTCTGTTGTTTACTTTGAATCCGGAAATTTATTTTGAAACAACGCTGTTGCTCATAATAAACGCAACTTGACGGACAAACAGGAGTCAACGACACACCAATGACACTCAGCAGACAGCAGCAGTGAGGGAGAAACAAGTGATCTCGATGGGCGGAGAGAAAAGGACATGACGGGAGTTTAGGTCCAGTTGAGAAGGCAATAAGGTGAGTTAATGACATTTTATATATGTCACATTATTTTCCGTGAATGTTGTGTTTTTGCTAACTTTCTGCGGCAGAGTTGAATGTGTTCTTCTAGCCTATTAGTTTTATTGCTGTCAAGTTCTGAAGTTACTTTGTGGCAGCAAGAAAACTGGTTTATTAGCATTACTACTAGCCTGTATACATCAGTCCAGGCTAGCATGTCTCCACTGAAACAAACGCAACACATGGAGATATATTAATGCTCATCAGCCATCATATATTTATTCATTTAACAAAGGAGATGATCTAATTGTTAGAAATAAATGAAGGCTGGCATGTATTATAGGCTTATTTGCCTCTGTCTTGATGTAAGGTTGTAGACAGAGGAATACAGGCAGGCGAGAAACTGGGATTGGCTCATAGTTCTGCAGTTAATTTAAGTTGCGTTCTGATATGATTAAGCAGAAAAGAGGACAGGAAGTTCCAGTGTGCAAGAGAAGTCTTAGTACACACAATAATACAATGCAGATGCTTTGGTCGTTTGGCAAGAACCACTTTGAGCACTACTGAGTTACACCTTTGGGAATGGTAAAGTTATTCTTAACTTGAAACTGTGATGGAAAAGTGAGATTGCAGCTGTATCTTTGAAGACCCAACTTTTAATGTCAATTTCATTTTTTGTATCACAAATGCGGGCCTGGACAAACAGAAGATTCATGCTGTTCACTGTGATTCATTTAAAAAGCAACAACTCTCTAATCATCAGCTTGTGTTTCAAAAAGCTTTCAGCCTGCACTCAGGCACTTAGCATGCACAATGAGGAAGTGGTTTTGTTGTTTTCTACAGGTTAAACTGATTCTCTGTAAAAACGGGCTTAATCTAAAATGACATAGAAATACTTGTGTTGACACTGACGTGATCAGCTATTCCTCCTCTGATTCCTCTCGCCAAATTGCCAATTTATCGCCACCCATCAAAGATCCATAATTCCTGGTAGAGATCATTATGAATATTTGTGCTTCACCTTTGGAAAAGTTATGACAAGATGGTTCATTAGAGTTGGTTCATCAGACACAGAGTACCCTGAGGTTAATGAAGGTAAGGAGGAAACAACAATATCAGGAATATCAGAACTGTTCATAAATAACACTATTTCACAGCATCTAGTTAGGACAAAGGAAAATTGACAGTAAGTTACAGGCTTCATATTAACGTCATGGACAGTCATGGATAATATACACTAGGGATTTAAAGATTAATAGTAAAATTGTGATAAATCGATTCACAGGTGTCAAGAGTCACATCGGTACTCTGAAAAAAGAACTGCAATGATATCATGAGCGTCAGCAGCTGCAGAGCAAGATTTTGAAATTGAGGTCGCACAGCCGTCTTTTAAAATCGGAGAGGTGGAAGCATTTTGTCTTCCCCAAGACAGTAAATGAAAGAGGTGAGAAGATAACAGACAAGACAAAAACTGTGTGCAAATATTGTACCTCCGGTGGTACGCGGACTCCCTGTGGTGGCACATACTCTTTTGTATCTTTTGGGTTGTATTAATATCAAATGTGGTTCCCCTCTAAATTAATCTAGTTTTTGCAACAAACAACTTTAATCTGCTCAATTTATGCTCGCACACGGACATAAACAACAACAGGCGTAAAGCTTCACGTTTTGAAAAGTTCCACTCGATATTCCGTTATAGTTCAGTATTGAAACAACAGCATTTGGAGAGTCAAATATTTCCGGGTGTGGTACGCAGTCTAAAAAGTTTGAGAACCGCAGTTTGAGAAAAAACACACTAAAAGGTCAAACCACTGACAAGCGGGTTTGCAGCCTCTAAAGGAATCTTTTTAGGTCATAATTTGTCTACAGTCTCATTTTGTAAAATAAATCATGAGAGAATCGTATCATATTGTGAGTTGAGTGAATCGTTACAGCTCTATTCATCAGTCAAATCAAAAGTCTGAAGTTTTGTCATTAAGTCTGTGTTTCTGACTGATAGCAGATTGCTGTCTTACACTGACTCTGCTATTGCTTGAGGTTTCCTGTAATAGGGTCTTTGTCCTTGTGACTGTAACCAAGTGCTTGCTCATAGTGGTTAAGTCTTTGTACATAAAATAAAAGAGTACCATCCAGACCTTCTTTATGTGAAGAGTGTCATGATATCACTTTGGTTGAGATCTTTCACTGAATAACTCAAAGATGTGTGATTGATTGATTTACACATACATGTAGTTAACGCCTTTAATCTTCCATCCAGATGCGAGCCACCTGTAAGAGGAGTGTTGGACTGTTTCTGGTTAGTGGACTTCTGCTTTGTTCCCTGTTTTATGTGTGGAGTCCTGGGAACAGCCCCAGTGCTGACATCCGGCCAAAACTGTGGAGTCCATTAAATGCACACCTCTACGGGAAAATCCAAAACATCGCTAACGGATATAATGATATTCCCTACAACATTAAAGAGGATGTCGCATGGTATGTAATAATCCTGCATGCCTTCTGTGTGGTCTATTTTGGCTTTCTTTATACACGTCAACTCATTAAGTACTGTTTTATTTTCCCGGCACAGTCGATTGGCTCAAAACGCATGTGTGTGTCTGGCCGATAAGGAGACTGTTCACCTGCCGTTCTCCAATCTGCTATGGCCTCGTGCGTGGGCACACAACATCAGTATGGCGTTCTTAGAGTCCCATCCTGACCCTGAAGGTGTCAAGCAGCACAGAGCTCAAGAGTACCGCAGCTTTCAAAGGAGGTAAAGATGATACACTTGACTTCCTGTAAATACACCCTTTGCTTTATCACATGACTGTCAGCTTGAGCACATTCATGTTTCTGGTATTGTTGGTCAGGCGATAAAGATGGTTTTTTTTTTTTTACCTCTATTAATTTACTATTTCCAGAATATTCCACTTTTTTTCAACAAGCAGTTAGACTCAGTTGTAGTCCCCTTTTTATGGGAATATAAAACACAAGAAACATCTCATTGTTTGGCATTGCCAGATTTCTTCCTGTATTATCGGGCCTCAAACATTAGGATTATGGCTTTCTGGCTCGACGATGTGGTAACCCCACCAAACTGGTTTGAACAAGAGCAGGAAGCATGCCACCCTTACTCGATAGGTGCCATCCTTGCACTATTGAAAAATCTTTATAAAGTAACAATCGAGTGATCCACAGCACCCTTCAGATTTGGAAACAAATGAAATTACATTTTTGTTGGAAACCCTTCCATCCCACCTTCTATTCTTGATAATGCTTAACTCTGAAAGGGGGCGGGCATCCACACAATAGGAGACTTGTGCAATGATGGCACATTCGCCTCTTTTCCTCAAATACAAAACAAATACAAATGACAATTTGGGGCAGTACAATTGAAGAATAACAAAGATACAATATTAAACTAACTGTGCAGGTAAACAAATGTAATTTAGCTTCTACAATATTTACAGATGACTACAGGTAACTTACAGAAATCTTAAATAAAAATATTAGTCTGTGTGTATGTACAGTTATATACAGATCTAATTAGTCCAGATGATGATGTTTTGTTTATGGGGGGTTTGGAGCTGTTGGACGCTCTCTTCCGGTTACAGCAGCACACATAGCGTTGTTGATTGAGGTGAATTGTTTCTGTGTGTTTGTGATGAGTGGGAAGTACGTGTCTCTGGTGTCACTGATGGCCGTGTTCACTGAGCCTGTACATGGTCAATTTCTTCAGTTTTTCTCTCACTGTTGGAGTGTCTGCCTGTCTCTCTTGTTTTACCAGCCAATCAGAGACAGAGTAGGGTGGGTCCTTGTGGAACTTATTATTTATTAGGCTTTTTGTAAAATCATTTTCTTCTTACAGTTTTTAAAAAATATATTTTCTCACATGTAGTTGCATTAGATGTTAGCTTTGCAATCGAATTAAGGTTTTTAACAAAGCTGAGATTTATGGGCTATATGACATGATGATGTGAGCGGGGAAACTCACCTGACGGAGCGGTCATTTAGTCGTATGTTTCTACCCGTTGGACATTCTTTGACACACGGCTAAACTAAGACAGTTAGCCTCGTTCAGAGCAGACTTGTTCAACAGCATAAGTTACCATGGTAACTCAGCGAGGACTCATATAAGCTACGGTGATGGAACGAAACTCCCACTTAAATGAGCCAGACTTATCGAGATAAATGAGGATTCTGCTTAATCCTGCTTCGTGGAATGATTCCAAGGAAACGGCTTCATTAGAAATTTGCAAATAAAATGCTCTTATTTTCATTTTTGTTTATATCCTGTATTACAGTTTGGTGGCTGTATGTCTTTTTAGTTTTTGCTGTGTGTTCAAAAAACAGATAGATAGTAACTCATTATTGTGTTGGACATTTACTTGTGTACAACTGTACACTCAGCTCAACTGCTCTTAAAAAAAACCCATTTTTTTCTGGTAACGTTTTAAAAACTGGGAGAGGTATTAGCTGGGTATGAAAGGAGTGGTTTGAGCCATGAACATAGACTGTAGTGCGCAGTGCGCTCTCTTTACAGGCCTCACTCCCCTTCTGGCTCTACAATGATGTGTGCATGCCTGTTGTTCTCCACCTGCACGTTCTCTTTGCCCGCAGTTTATTTGCATTGCTCTATGCATGGAAGCTATAAAGTGCGTGCAGTTAATACACTTAAGTGACCTGGGTCGTTAAGATGGTGAAATTGAAATCATACATAGACACATGTACATAGTGAAACACGTTTCTAATCGTTGTTTTTCTTATGGTGACTCAAAGTTGTCAAACTGGACTTCATCCTGGCAAGTAAAACCTGACAAAACAAACAAGAAAGGAAAAAAACAGGGAGGACAGGAAGTAGATTTAGTAGTATGTTTGTATAAACTGAGTTATCAGGACAGTGACACAAAAGCTTTCCTCACTCTCACTTCAGCCTGACAGTTTCTCTTTGTTTCATTTTTTTTATTTGATATGCTTTAATAATCGCTGAGGGACATTCTGGTTTAACACTCTGTTATTTAGAGACATGCTTTTCACACACAAAGGCCCGACTCAAACACATGCTTTAGTGGAGAGACATTAGAGTGGGGCTGCTACACACTGATACGCAGGGAGCGCAGAGCGGTTGGGGGTTTGGTGCCTTGCTCTAGGGCAACTCAGGGGTACTTGGGCATCTCTCCAGCAACCAGACCAAATTCCATAGTATGGTACGCATCTTTACTTCAACCGGCGACCCTCTGGTTCCCAACTCGAGTCCCTACGGGCTGAGCTACTGCCAGCTCTTTGCATATGATGCCGTTTTTGGTCAAGTCTTGATAGTAATTTAGCTCAGTCAGTCAGCTGTTCAATACTTGAGGAGCATACATTACTCACTGCATGGAGAAAAGAGCTGATCTGCAGCCTGAGGCGTCTGCTGCATTTATACACGTTGATTGAATGGATTCATGTGAACCTCCTGCATGCCACTTAAGATTGGGACCAATAGCTATAAATCATATTTACAATGATCTAAAATTAGGAAAAGCTAAACAAGTTGTTGTGTGTTTTATTTCTGTTGTTAACTGGTGGGGTATTCTAAAACTGCAGATTTTGATGACCCACATTAAGCCATGTTTTTATTACACAATCAGGAGTAGAAAAGAACATTCACTTTGTGTCTCTGCAGTATGTTGGCAAACAATGAATTGAGCGAGTTCTTACAGAATATTCTACTGATGTGCAAATGAATAAAAAAAGAATTGTAGCTACCTATGGCTGATAAGTTCTGGCCTATGTCATACATTGTCCACCACTTGCCAGTGCTATCTGTTGTCTTTAATGTCTGACTCAAAGGATATAACTTTCATGATGTTCAAGCACAAAAGCGACTTTTGAGTTCTGCAGTTCGGCGCAATGTGCTCCTGGTTTGTGTCGGGTTGTGTCACCTCAGCTCACTGCTGCCCAGAGCTGAATACTTTCCACCTAGAGATGATGAGCATGTAGAGCAGGGAGAGCTCGTTTTCTAGCTCAACCTGTAAATCTGTAGCTCTGCTTCTTTACAGCAAAAGCATGTTGTGCAGAAGAAATGACTCTTCTCCCGTCCTGTAAAACAGCATAACTCCACACTACTTTTCTGATGTCAGCCCTGATTTTAGTTTCATTTGATGTACAAAGGATGTCGTTGTTGTTAGTGGAAATTCAGGGCTTGTTACCCCCTGCAATGAAGTATCCATCAGCTGGTGACTCTCACTTGTGTGTAGCTGTTTGTGAATTAGAATTTCTCTTGCAGTGAGGCTCATTTGCGTAGAAAGGGTATTTTAACTCAAATGTATATGATATGTGGAGCAGATGCTCCAGCTTTTAGGTCATGTCCCATGTATCGAGGCTGAAGTCCTCCAAGAATGCATCCCGGGTATGAGTCTGACCTGTGGCTCCTTTCCTGTCATTCCCCACTCTCTCTCTCTCTCTCCCTGACTCCTTACTCTATCCACTGTCCGATCACATTGAAGTCATTGAGCCCACATTCAATATTCAAAACAAATGTATGTTCATTGAGATTGCCCCTGAAAGAAAAGGAAGAGGAGTGTTTTGTTTTGCTTTTTGCAAAGAGATAAAGTGATGCATGTGCTTATTTAATATGTTTTGCCTCTAAAGGTCCTATGATCCTGCAGATGTGCTTGTTGTAGCCGAGGCCATGAGTCCTCTGCAGTATCCAACCCAGGGTGTGAAGGTGCGACCCCTCAAAACCATCATCATTCCTGGTAACAGCATGTTTAACAATGACCCACTAAATCATACTTAAGAGTTCAACATCTCAAACATAACATCATCAACTGCTTCTGGTGATTTAGTCTGTTCCATAAAAACTCTTCATTAAAATCCATCATCCAGTTCTTTCTTTTCTCCAAAGGTCTGGGCCTCAGAGAAGAAACCAGATTAAACCACGTGGTAATTTCTTCATTCTGGGGGTTTTCATTGTGGTAGACATTCACTCTTTTTATCATTCCCCTATCTTTATGGGGGTTTTTTATTTTATTTTATTTTCTCTCCAAAACCATGCAAATGGTCTAACAGGTATCTTTGACAGCAACACTGGGGACTTTTGACGTTGCTGCTACAGTTCACAGGGTCTCTTTGGAGGGAGTGGGAGAGAACCACATGATTCTGTCGAGTCCTCGCCTCTCTGCTTTGAACAGACAGCTGCAGTTTGTCACCTACACTAACACTGTGTTCCATCCCAAAACAGCAGACACAAGTAAGTCAAGAAATGATAGACATTACTGTAAAAAGAGGTTAAGGAAGTTTTCATGTACAGGGTGATTTTTGTCAGTGAAATATCCGACAGTGAAAGCGAAGGCTTCGTCACGAGCCTGTTGTGAAATCCTCTGTTAGGCCGTGTTCACACTGGACTTGTGAAAAACTTAGAAAAATATGCTGCTTTTAGCACCTTTTGAGCGCTTATGCGCGAGTGTTCTGAAACCTTAACCTGTGCCACAGGAGCTGCGGTGCAACCGTGCCAGAACACAACGCATCAATTTAGCACAAAAAAGAACAAGCAGGACGTGAAGTCAGACACCAATACAACATTAAAACCTCTGGTTTATTTTCAGAATAACACCCTCCATTTTGACGGAGCCTGCGTCCCTAGTTACCTGTGCCCAACAACGGCAAACCAGATATGTGTGCATTGCGTGAAAGCAACGCTTTTTTCTGTAACAAGAAGTCAAGTGTGAACACAGCCTAACTTTTTAGAAATTGTTTTTTTTGAGGAATGTGAACTATGTTAGCCATCCTCAGTCAGGCTGGGGCTGAAGCAGGCCTCACTTGCCTCACAGAAGCCACCCACACATTTTTTATCGCGGAGCAGCAAAGCCACAAAGTTACTCATTGTTGAGATGTAGAACTGTGTGTGTGTGTGTGTGTGTGTGTGTGTGTGTGTGTGTGTGTGTGTGTGTGTGTGTGTGTGTGTGTGTGTGTGTGTGTGTGTGTGTGTGTGTGTGTGTGTGTGTGTGTGTGTGTGTGTGTGTGTGTGTGTGTGTGTGTGTGTGTGTGTGTGTGTGTGTGTGTGTGTAGTGAACTGGCGTGACTACAAACGCCTGCAGACTCTTTGATCAGGCACAGGAGTGTGTTGGTTTGTGTGTTGGTTTGTGTCAGCCCACACATACATCCGTCTGTCTGTCTGTTATAGAAAACACAGTTCTGCATCACAGTGACATGTTTTATGCTCTTTTTGTCTCTCTTCTTTCGTTCTGCAGTTGTGTTTGCAACTCAAGGTCACCAGGCGTTTTTCAACATCCGAGTCGGACACGGAACAGTCCCGACACTTTACAACTTTAGTCACCAAAAAGGTTCGTGAGCATTTTTTATCTTTATGGCGTTTATTTTAATGCAAAGTGTTAAATGTATCAGGTCACTTCCTGGGATCATTTTTTCTGAAAAAACATTTATTTCTACACAGAATACAATATTAGTGCTCTCGTTACGATCGCCACCAAGACCTTTCTGCGCTACGACAAACTCAAAGATCTCATCGACAGCATACGGCAGTTTTACCCCACCGTCACCATAGTGATCGCAGATGATAATGAACACCCTCAGCCAGTGACCGGGCCTCACATTGAACATTACATCATGCCGTTTGGAAAGGTAAAGAATTAGAATCACATCAGAATCAGATTTATTGCCAATTGGGTTTACACTTATAGGACTTTGTCTTTGTGTTTGGGTTCAAAAATGGTGAACACAATAATAATAATAATAATAATAATAATAATAATAATTTTTTACTTTATTACAGGAGTAGAATAAAAAAATAACAGTTCTCCTTTTGTCAATGAACTTACATTTGAAAAGGCAAACAGGAAAAGACACAAAAGATTATTACAAAATGTGTTCATAGGTTTAATGAAAGAGCTCTACAGTTGTGCAGAAATGTGTAAGATGATTGTGAGTGTGAGTTCCAGTATAAAAGAGACAGTTAGCAACATTTATGGAATGATAATGGAGCTGGATGAGAGTCTGTTTCAAGACACTGTTTTTTTGTGCCATTGAAAATCTGCTAATACTGGACTGCAGCTTCCTTCCAGAAGTTTACATGTCAATGAAAATACCATGCATTGTGATTATAAAGCCATGTTGTGTAAAGTAAGTTGTGATCCCCCTTTCCTTTCACAGGGTTGGTTTGCAGGAAGAAACCTGGCAGTGTCTCAAGTCACCACCAAGTATGTGCTCTGGGCGGATGATGATTTCCTCTTCACTGCAAACACCAAGCTGGAAAGGATGGTGGACATCCTGGAGAAGACCACGCTGGATATGGTGAGATACAGACAAACTGTCAATCAATCAATCAATCATTATTTGTATAGCGCCGATTCATCACAAGTGTTATCTCGAGTCGCTTTACAAAAGAGCATATGGGATTATATGCAGGAAAGATTTCTCCTAAAATAACCTGAACCTGAATCTCCATGCCACTGAGGTGAGGTCAGAGCAGGCTGTGCATGAGTGAGGACGGCGATGGTTGTGAAGACGACACAGTGTGATGGTGGTGGCTGACGTCAAAACTACCTCAGATGGAGACGTTTGCAGACGTCGGATAACTTCCATACTGATGCTCTGCTGGCCCTCAGCTGTAGAGCCTTCTGCAGCATTCGCTTGTTGCCTAAGCCTTCAGTCTTTGACTAATACATTCAGCGGAGTAGGCGTTAAAGTTTGCTACTCCTTTTACTTGGAACATATTACATTTAGACCTGAAGCTTAACGAGCTGCTGTCATTGGATGCTAAATGACTTCTGGCTCTAGATGTTCTCCCTGATGTATTTATGGGTGTGGGCAGTCTTGACAAATATTTGCTGTTATTTTGTGTCTTTCTACATTTCAATAAGGATGTATCTCTGTTGTATTTGTATGTTTGTCGGCTCTTACATGCCTGAAACTCTGTTAACTGTGCTGCTGCCTGTCTTGGCCAGGTCACTCTTGAAAAATAGATTTTTTAATTTCAGTGAGTTGTTTTCCTGATTAAAAAAATAAATAAATACAAACTCAGCCAGCAAGACACACATCATCAAGATAATGAAATTCAGGTATAAAGCTCTCTTGATATTAGTTCTTAAAGTGTCAGCTGTCTTCTCCTTATGTTTTAGGAACAATTAATGTCGTCATCGTCATGGTAACCTTCGTGGAATTATAATCTAAAAAAAGGTCTTCTCTGCTGAGTCAATCAATAAGATGAGAGCAGCATCAAAAACAATGTAATGTTCAAAGGCAGCACTCATGTTCTTTGTTTCATTTAAAATCCGATATGCTGGAGTAAGCACACTTTTTATTATCATAACCACCTCCCATTTAAAAAAAGGAAAAAGGAAAAAGCAAAGCATGACTTTTTATGTGCTGGCCTTCCTCTTTTACGAGACGTTCTCTTACTGGAAGGAGTGGGTGGGGTGCTTGTACTCCATGTGATTTGTGTCTGGGTGTTTTGTGTGTGTCTGTAAAAGATTGTCCAGGAAACTGTTGAAGTGTCGACACTCAACAGATCCGTTTTTTGTGTCAGTTCAGAAAGAATTTCCTCACTACAATTTTTTCCATTAACAGTAAAATTCAGCGTTGAAAAGAGTCCCATTCAAAGAGTCAGACTGTTCCTATCTGCATTGTAGAGTGTGATTTACTCTGTATGGGACCTTTGTTTCTATCTACGCGCTCGTGTTTCTCTTCATTCTGATAGTATTATCTGTCTTATCACATTTGATGTCGTACTGACTGCAGGTTGGAGGTGCAGTCAGAGAGGTGACCGGTTACACTGCCACATACCGTCACACCATTTCAGTGGATGAAGGGGGAGAGGAGGGGGACTGCTTACACATCAGAAATGGCTACCATCATGTCATTGAGGGTTTTCCTAACTGTGTGGTCGCTGATGCCGTCATCAACTTCTTCATGGGGAGGACGGACAAGATGCAACAGGTGGGATTCAACCCCCGCCTGGCACGTCAAGGTCATCTGGGTGAGTGGTTCTGTAACATGTCCTATTAAATATCCCTGGAGTTGTATGAAATGTTGTCATTTGGTAGGTGCAGCTGTATGGAAGAGGATTAGGGCCACTGAAAAAGTAAATCTTTCTTCTGACTTTTTTTTTTTTTTGGAATTCTGAGATTAAAGTCAAAATTCTAAAAAACAAAAGTCAGAATCACACTATACATTCATGTAGCATTTCAAACCGGGGTTAATCACATTCAAATGTTCTTTTGACCCTTTAGAGTTCTTCATCGACGCTCTGGGCGTCCTCCACATCGGCTCGTGTAGTGACATCATAGTAAGCCACGCGTCAAAGATCAAACTACCCTGGACTAAAACAGACTCACAAAAGGCTTATGACAAATTCCGCTACACGTACTCCAGCTCCGATAAGTACCTCCACAATGAAATCTTCTACTTCAAAAACAGGTTCAAGTGCATGACCAGTCACTGAAGCCTGGAGTCCCTCGTCTGGCTGCTGCCTCAACGTGAGGGAGGTCGAGACTTGTTGTTGTTTTTAGGTAAAAAGGAGAATTCAGGAATTAGTTTTTGGTATTCTTGACAGTTTTTGCTGCTTCAGCATTTACTGCTCGAAAAAGTTATGTGGAATTTATTTCTTCTTTTAATAAAGACAGGAAAGCCAAAGTAAACATCTCCACAAGTTCACTCAGTTATCTCGTTTCTTTTTTTTTGTTTTCTGATTTTTTCTTCCATAGCTTCTGTTTGAGTAAATCCCCTTTCTTAAGTTCTGTATGAACTGTGCCTTAAAAAGGGTTTTAAAAAACTTTTCTTGCACACAGTTAAATATCATAGTTTCCTCCAGGTTCTGACCCTTCATGATGTTATCTACATCATGACTCAGTAGTCGTTAATCTTTAGGCTTGGCTCTTCTCTTTATCTTCAGGGATGTAAATGCACTTCAACTACTGGAGTTGCATAAACATTTCAACTTGAATGCACATGTAATCTTTGTCGTTGTCAAGGTGCAGAGTTGTCTTTTTGTGCTCTCTGACAACTTGACAAGCAATGTCAATGGGCTTTCATTACCAGCTCAGGTAGTATACTGATTAGGACCATATGACCATAGGAACATGTATTCCTAGGTTTTTGAATGACTCCTCATTGTAAAGTGACAAAGTGATCGTGAACTTGTCTTGTTGTGTGTTTTGGCATCATAAGTTACACTGTTGTACAGTTGTTTGCCGTTTTTATTGAGCTTTTGAAAGCTTTATATCTTTTGTACTGCTCTCAATATTTAATAAAAAACAATGGAAGTCAATCTTTCAACGTTTCATTCATTGTTCTACTCTGTCAAGAAGAAAACATTTGTTTTCCTTTTTACCAAATAGAACATCAAAATCCAGTCTGGGTGACTGTTACTCTGCCCTTCCGCATTTCAATCTTTTTTTGTAACTGACTGAATGTGTCATCATCCTTCTCGTAACAAAACTGTGCTACATTATCCAACTAACTTCCCACTTTAACAGAAAATGAACCAACACGTCCATTTCTCCATCGCCATCCTTTATTAGCAATCTATGCTTCACACTCTTTAAATCTCATGAGGGGTTGCCCTTCATAGTTGTTCATGCCAATAGTGAACATTGTGTCTGTTAAAGGACCAGTGCACCATACGAATGCTTTGTCTCTGATTTATTTATTTATTCATTCACTTGTTTCAGTGAAAAAAACCAACATCTAGAAAATTGACGCATCCTTTGTCTGAATCACGTTCAACACAGGAGCAACACACATCTCTTCTCCCTCAACCTCTTCATACATTTATTGGAATCTTGTAAGGCTGACTGTTAATACCGACTCACTTCTCTTAATGTTGACACTAGATATGGACATTGTTTGTACTGTAACTTGAAGAGCTTCAGACATCCATTCAAAGGTTTCTTAATGACAGTTGACCTTCTGCAGAAATATCTTTGTGTTTGTGTTTCAGTATCAATTTCACTCAGGGACAGTTCTCAAAAACCTCTCCAACCATTAATTAAAAATAACTTAAAGAAACAAATGTTAAAAGAGTAAACATAAGAATGCACAAGGGAAATACAAAACATGTTTTAACTTTGATAGTTTAAGGAGTATTGGTATGTTAGCAACAGATCTCTCATATTGTTGTGTTTAAGTGTTGAGTTCGAAAAGCATAGAAAAAGAGTTTTATAATTTGTTTCCAAACATGTTATTTAAAATCATGTGACCGTTTAAACAGGATTCCTGCAGAGTGTCATTTCAATGTTTCACCACAAGATGGCACTTAAAGATCATAGAAAGTTGCGGACTGAACAATCCTCTGCTTTGTCATTAGAGTTACACGTGATTGTATCATTGTTGTTATATTCTTTATCAGTAATATCACGTATGGCTGTTATAGTTGAAGTGGTAAAGTCATTTTATACACATATAAGCATGTTATGTTACACTGTTCTCTGTTTGAAAACAGTAACTCAATGTGGTATGAAAAACTGATGTCCATCTTGCCTTTGGAGAGATTATCTCATGTACTCAGAGATACTCTTGAGGTTTTTGTAAGGGAATGGTCCCCATTGGCAGTGGTTCAGTGTAATGGGAATATCAATTACAATTCAATAGAATATGAAAGATTTGACTTAGAAAGCTCTGCTGGTTGCTAAAAATGCTGTTGTTAATCTTTGTTCGTTTTGTTTAGTTGGAATGTGCTTATGTTGTTGTTGTCGTTGTTTCTTGTGTTTTGTGTTAACTTGTTGGTCCTTCTAATTAAAAAATAGTAAAAATAAATAAATACATTTTAAAAAACAGTAATATGACACAATATAAATGATGTGTTTCTTTATATTTTAAATGTAATTTTTACAGTTTAAACCTGATTTGTTAAATTGTTGACTAATTTGGAGGGGTTTCGTTCATTGATTGACAATGTGTTGGTTTAAAAAACGTCATTACAAGTACTGTTACCGTTTTTCACTGTTGAATTAACATGGTTCCTAAAACTTGGGACCTGCTTGTCTAAACTCCACACACAAAACCCCAAAGCATATACACAAAGTGAAAAAGCAAGCACTACATTCAAATCTGTTTCAACTCTTTTAGAAATGATACTTCTGCTTTTATACTGCATACACACGAACCAAATAAACAGATCTGTCCACCACCAACTGCACACAGCTGTGCTTACAGCCCCCCCACCACAGTTTACTTTAAACACACAAAAAATGAACACAATTCGTGAAAAACTTTAATTTTATGTATCAACAACATGACACCAAACTGCTAAAGTCATTGTTTAAATCACTTTATTCACATAACACTGACCCTCAAACTGAAACACCGTGATTACCAGTTGTTCTCACCTGAGCAAACTCAAAGAAAGAACACTTCACTCATGTGTCAGAGTATAAAAGACGCCCCAAGTGAGCGGTTGTTTTTGTCAGTTCAGATGAACACTTGCAGTAACAAATATTTTTAATGCAGTAACAAATAAATAGTTATTGTGTTACATTTTAGTATCTGTGCACTGATTTTCTCTGAAGTGTTTGTCATTGTAATTACAGAGGTTAGATGACTGAGCTTTGCTACATACTTAATAAAATAGGTTTGTGTGTGTGTGTGTGGGTGAATGGGATATCCAGTGAGAAAGTGTTTTTGCTAAGACTACATGAGGAGCTACAGTCCAGTTAACATTTACACATTACCTGTAAACACTTTATCTCTGTAGGAATCGTTAACCTTCTTCTGTCGCGTGTGTGTCTGTGTGTGTGTGTGTGTGTGTGTGTGTGTTAGTAGGTCTTTCAGTAGGATTTGGCTTTGTAAACATTTGGCCAGAGCAGTGTGTTCCATGTTCTAATTGAAGTGGACTACTTCTGTCCAATTAGTGAAACACTCCTTTAGCTTTAAAGAGAAAGCCCAAAGGGTAAGGTGTCTAGAGGCCTCTTTGAAATATGCACTGGAAAAAATTAATAACTTGGCTGTCCAACATCAAGCAGAGAAATAATGAGTATTTTCCCCGTTTTTTTCGTCCTGGTTTTGAACTCACTACGTATACTTTTATCAGGTCAAGGTAATGGAACGATGAGGATAAGGAGGAGTGGGAGGGAAAGCTTTAAGTGTTGGACAGCAGAGGGCAGCACGGAGGTGAGGTAAACGAAACACTCCCAATTAATGTAATGGAGATGACAAACTGGATAACATCTCAGAGTTTGTCAGACTTTTGTTGTCATCTGAACAGTTTGTTAGAAAGCACACTGAATCAAGCATTTTTTAAATCTATTTTAGTAAAACATTTGTGTAGTTCTTGGTGTTTGCTAAAACAAAACTGACATCAGCCTTTATTTTTATTGGTCAGCATTCTGTAATTCTTCCTAACCCCGTTTTCATACTTCCTATATTTATTATTATTATTTTCAAACATGTATTGTTTTTTTTCCTCAGACTCTTCAGAGGAGACACTCATCCACAGTAACTCATCAAATACAAAGGCCGCTTTGATTCTTTTTTTTTCATTATCTGACAGCGAGGCGTGCTTCACATTCCATACAGTAACATAATATATTGAAAAATATCAAACAAGAATTCATGTAAAAACCTACAACTCTGATTGTCTATGCCATTTCATGAAAATAACCTTTATTCATTGGGACGTTTTGTTTCTGGAGACACATTTATTGTCCAAACAGCCGCTGTACGACACAGTTACTGACAAATATAAAACAGTTTGTGCTCTCTCTGGATTTCAAATCAACATGTATATATACAAAACAGAGTTTGATGACATTTAATCTAGAGATATATGATAAGCACATGTTTCAAAAAGATATAAATATACACAGTATTTGATCAAACTATTCAGTGCACCTTAAATGTATCTGTTTTTCAAACAACAAACAGAAACTAAATAAATATGACTATGGTAATGTTCCAGCATATATGACAAGAAGGATCAGAACAATTCATAAACAATATAATTCATGTCTGTCATTTACAGCTTTATAGACAGAACTTTTCATTTTGTTTGACACTTTTTTTTAACCAAATCAAAGTTTAGTTTGTGTACTTGAATGAAGCCCTTTGCAACCTCGCCTGAAATAAGGCCAACAACTTTGAAACGACTGGTAACACTGTGAAGTAATGTATTGTTATGCATAACATGGTGCTACAACAGGCTACTGCTTCTTTGAAACACTGCTGTACAGTAGAGTCTGGGCCAAAAACTGAGAGCCGAGAGACAGAAAGTCTGATTAAGTAACAACCTGAAGTCCTCTTCCTGTTTTAGTCCCACACACCTCGTCTGATGACTCGTCTGCCCTCCTGCTTCATACCCACACAGTGGTGCTGTTTTCCTGAGGTTTTTCCTGCAGCAGACAAAAGCAGGATCATCATTTGATCATTTAGTAGTCGTCATTTCAAATCAAATCAACGTCTCGTTTGCATATTAAGTGTGTTTTTTTGGGGCTCACCTTCTGCTGCTGAATATACATCACAGCATCGTGAACTGTGACAAAGATGTGCTGAGGGCTCATGAAGTTCATTAGACCACTCGATGTGAGGATCTTTAAGACGCTTTCTAAGAGGACAGAAAGCAACAATCACTTTATGCAAACTGAGAATAAAGGAGCTAAAAGCATTCAGACAATATTTATTTTGAAACTCTACCATTGCAGTTTGCAAGATAAACGTGGACTCCAACTTTCTGGCATTCAGTGCACATCTGCAAAAAAAGACAGAAAGAAAGGATTCATGCATAAATGAAGAGATATTTGATGTGCACATTTGACATCACATTTGCACGACGTCCTGCTTTTGAAGACTTGCCTGGGTAAAGAGTCGTGCTCCAGCAACATCAACAAAAATCACACTGCTGCAATCGATTAGTACTGCCTGAACATCGCTCTCAGAGGTTTCTAGAGAAAAGACAAAGGGATACTGAGCGTGGACTTTTGCTTGACTGCTTCATTTTAATGGCGGATTTAATGAGGTTTGTCTCAGGTTTGTAGAACATCATTAGTTCATGCAAGTATATTCATATTTAATAGCACCCACACTTTTTTTTAACCACTTACCAGATTTAAAGAACTCGTTTTCTGAAGAAAAGGATGTGTTTGCAATGCAGCTCTCCTAAATAATGATGGAGAGAGATAAGGTAAATAAAAGCATAAATAAGACCCTGATATGACATTGGATTCTACAGTGTGAAGAGTGTATTCTGACTCTTCTCATCCAGAGATAGCAGAAGTCCTACCACAGTGTTGACAGTGGCCTCTCTCTCCCGTTTCTCCAGGGCTTTCCTGGCCTTCTCCCGGCTGCGGATCTTCTCTGGCGTCAGGCCCAGCAGCCTGCTTATCTCCTCTCTGAAGAAGCTGCGGTTGCCATAGTAAATGGGCCCGTTGTAAGTCAGGATTTTTACTCCTGGAACCTCATAGCACTGAAAGGAAAAACAGGATAGTCTCAACTTCAGTCTGGGACGTTCTGTATCGTCTCTGGGATTAGGATAAATATTTTAGGTTTCTCATCAAATCCTCAAAGCGTCTTTAATGTGTGTTTTCATGCATTTACATAACTTAATGTGTAAGCTTTAAGCAGAAAAAGCATCTCCTCACCTTGCTGTGATTCTCCACCGGTCTGTAAATTTCTGTGTTGCTGGCCCGACCAAGCACAGAACAACCAGCCCTGTTGAATCATGAGACATTAGTATTCATTTAACCCACAGCAACATATAAATAACATAGCCTGGAAGGTATGATGTGATTTTCTGCATCTCTGTGCTGGAAGCTCCAATGTAGATTTAAACCTCTCCCTTTATTTCTGCAGCTGAATCATTCCTATGAGACACACTTTTACAGATTTCTTGTTGCAGATCTTCTTAAGTTCATGTTTAAATATTCTGATGTGCATACAACGACTTCAGAAGAGAATTAGGCCACAGCAGGTTTTTTAAATTGTATTCATGCTGAGTGTATAGAAAGTACAGTATACCTCTGTGTGCGGCAGATGACAGTCATCATAGAGAAAACTACCCCGATGGCGAGGCCGAGGTCCACATTCAGTATCACTACAGACAGCCAGGTTACAACCCAAACCATCTACACAGAGACAGTGATGTATTTCCATGTCACAATAAAAAAACAATTAACAATAGAAGAATTACCATGTGGTTGATTCTAGTCAAGATATTAGATAACAAAGGTGAATATACTATGTGGATTAACCAATCACATGCTCTTACAAAGTCCATCTTGCTGACTCTCCACAGCTCAGGTAAGTCCTGGAACTGCAGGAACATCTGCCTGAGGCTGGTCACATTGATGCATGCCAGCACTGCCTGGGGAGAGAAAAAAAAAAGGATGAAATGAGTGCTCTCTCTTTTTTTCTTTTTTCTGTAACACAGACAAACACACATTTAAACACACCTTGGGTAGGAAGTAGAACAGTGGTCCAATCAGTAGCAGGACGATCAGAACAACCAGACTGGTGAACAAGCCGGAGAGCTACAGGAATACACGACACACATGATATTTAAATGGGACCAACTTTTTTATTTTAACTACTGGGGATAGATGCCAGAAAGGCAATAACAAGAACAATCTTTCACATGTTGTTGCTATTCTATGACATAATATGTTTGATCTGATAATGGAACAGCTCAGCGTTTCCACAAAGCTTCAGAAAACCTACTGGTAATTGGACAAGTGGAAAATAAATATCCTCCAAACACCCTTATTTTATTTTAATCTGTTTATTTTAGTTGTATCAACCTGTTCATATTTCTACGCATTTCCCTTTTTTTTTTTTCTTTACTGAATAACACTCCCATCATCTGTTTTTATGTTCCACAATTTGACTGTTTTAGCAGAAAAGCCTAATCACTCAGGAAGTTAGAAATGATAGCTGTTTAAAATATGTTTTTATGTGATTCAAAATGTAATTGTTAACACTTTTTTCTTCTGTACTTGGAGCACTTTCTGCTCTGGCAAAATTGAAGTACTGTTTTTAAAATCAACTCTAAAACAAGTGGGTGTAAATGCTCTTTTAGGTTTTAAGTAATTACAACCAACATTCAGATGGATACCAGTTTATAAAAACTCATATCTGTTGTTTTGGCTAAATGAACCTCAGCTATAATGTTGTGCATTCCATGTAAACACTGTTAATGATTCTGGATGTATAAAAAGCAGTTTACATGTTGATCACAAAGAGCCTCCCTGTGGCCTGTGAGTGTGACACAAGAGATGATGAAGAGTGTCTCTTGAGTGTCTAAAGGATGAACGAACACTACCTGTGTGAATCCACCAGCACTCTCCAGAATGTTAGTGGTGGCTAACGTGGCTGAGCTGGGGAAGCAGGTGAAAAAAGACGACACTGTGTTGGAGACACCATGAGCCAGGAGCTCCTGAAACAAAAATGCAGGTTCAACACAACAAGGTAACATTTGTATGTATAAGACATCCTTATACGTAGCTGTGACATTCATATACTCTACCTGGTTGGGGTGTATGGAGTAACCATGTTTGTCTGCATAGATCATGGCCAGTGAGACTGACACAGCGTAACCAACAAACGTGATGGCTATTGTGTCTCCTGCAATGTCAGGGAAAGTGTGCAAGGATGGCATCCGTGGGCTTGGGAATCTGGGAGAAGGAAAATTAAACATTTAAAACTACTGGAAGCTGCTTTAGTACTTTAATTATTTGTCTGTTCTTTGTAAAAGATGTAAAAGATTACCCAGCTGGGATGTGGCCAACGATCTCAATGTCATAAGTAGAGTCCAGCGAAGAGGCATATGCTACACCTGTAGCAATGATCACCTGAAGAATGAAGTGCAAAATCATCAGTTATAACATACTGATTGTCCTAGTATATTTTAATCCCAATGACTTACAGTGAGGATCTCCACAGGTATAGGTGTCCGCAGGCGCTGCCGGTAGCGCATGTTGATCTCTTTAACTGGCACCAGGACGGCCAAACACACCAAGGAGATAAGCAGCTCCGCCATGTTGGTGTGAGGGAGATTTTCCATCACTGACGCTAAAGTCTGAACACATGACTCAGTGAGATGTGTGCAAACAGCACTAAAAAACCCAAATAAAAGCATGTAAGCAGACAGAATATGATTGTGAAACATGAAATACCTTGAAGAGCGAGAATGTTCCAGTGTGGCGAGGGAGTCGCAGCCCCAGCATGTTTTGCAGCTGCGAGATGGTCACATGGAAGGCAGCAGCGCTGGTGAAAGCCTTCACTATTGGCTCGGACAGATAGGTGGAGAGGAATCCCAGCTGAAGGCCACACATACAGAGCTGAGGAGCAAGAGGTTAAATTATGATCTGTGTCTTTTTACCTTGATTCTGAATTTAATTTTATAACTTTGTGTTGAACCCATTTTTTTTTTCTATCTATCCATCTTACCATAATAATTCCTGAGAGCAGTGCCACAGCCGAGGCCACTCCGATCCTCTGGCCCTCGAACTCTGCAGCTTCAGGGGAACTGGAGTTCATGTCCAGAGGAGAAGGAACCAGCTGCTCCACCACAGAGCCAGTCATCAGACTCACCACTGCAAAGGTACCTAAGAATAGACCCATCTTCTCAGCCACAGTAGAAAACACAGTAACCAAATCATGCACATAATGAGGTTGTCATTATCCATATAAGACAATACTGTAATATATCAATAAAATAGTAATGAGAAAAACATTTTCTCCTCTAGTACATACTGTAGGCTGTGTGTTAAAATAAGTCTTACCTGTGGACACATGACGACCTGTTCCAAAAAACATATAGAGGACCACGGGGAAGAAGGAGGTGTACAGGCCAAATATTGGAGCTACAGAAGTTAGTAAAGCAAAGGCCATGCCTGTTTGAGAAAAAAACATGAATATAGACAGTTTATCAGTAAACACATAGGTAGCAAAACTTGTTTTTATGTAGGCTACATTTATTAAGCCTCATTATTCTAACGCATGAAAATGATGATATATCATTATTAATCCACTCCATTACTGTACTTCACACATAGCTATAAAACGTCATACAATTTTAACTTGTAATAGTCTACCTATTAAATTTCTTGATTTTCATGATTTATCTCTATGATTTTATAAATAAGAATTCCTTGGTATAATAACATAAATTTGTATTATTATTATTATTATCATTACTATTACTATTATTATTATTATTATTTATGTATCTATTATTTATTCAGGGCTATTATTTTATTCAGCTCTGGCTCAGTTGATTAAACCAAGAATTATCTATCGCCAAAAACAAAAAGTAAAAACGACTGTAATTCTGATATGTTTAAGTACAAATTGTCGGATTTATGTTGGATTAATATTAATAATATTATCAGTACAGTCCAGCCCTGACATAGGCCTATATGTGTCGTATGATAGGCCTTACTATTGTAAAAAAAAAAAAGATTGATTTATTGACTATTTGATCTCCTTACCTTGCGGAATGTGAAGTATACCAACTGTCAGTCCCGCTATCGTGTCTCCTAAAATCCATTTCTTGAGTCTGTACCTCGGCAGCCAGCTGAAAATGGGGACTCTTTCCTTCAACAGGTGGAGGCATGCTCGCTTTGAACACCTGCACCGCCCGGTGATCTTCTCCCGCAGCCGCAAACTTCCACTCGTGTTATCATCGGTGCCGTAGGCCTGTTTGAAGCGGTCCTCCGTGTAAATATTCCTGTACACGGCCACAGAAGTGCTCATAGTGTCCCTGTAGAGGTGAGCTCTTGTAGACAGTAATGGTGTTGTCTGTTACAATACATTTATACCAGGCTCTGCCCTGACCTCAAGAGCCATTGCGTTTTCCTGTCAGCCTCCCCTTAGCCAATGACATGGCTCCAAGCTCAGCCTGTTTTGTTACAATGTTCAACAACTTTTCACATCTTTGTCCAGCCTCCAACATCATCAAGGTGTGCTGGTCCACTGTTTTTTTTTTCCCCCTACAAAAATCCCCTGGGTCCTACTGCTGAAAGGATTTTCTTTCAACAGAAAGTAGAAGGTCAGGCATAGAGTCCTTTTCTAGAAATCCCTCCTTCCAAGAACACACACACACACACCATCCATTACACTGCTCTGCCCGGCCTCCAGAGAACTGTGCGGGAGGTAGGACAAGCTCAGAGGAGGCACAATTAAGTCATACAATGTATACCACTGTGAACAGCCTACATAGATCAAAGTTCTATTGTGATGTTTGAGGTGTAACCCCAAACCGTGTCTGTTAGCAAGGAGTTCATTTCCGAGAAGGATGGATGTCTGTAATGGGTGGGCGTTTAAACCGTGTAGCCATAAGGAAAAAGAGTCTGGTACCCATGAGACTCCTGTGAAACTCAATCACACATGGCAGCCTGGTTCATGGATCAAACCACACCTTGACCACTCCATGAGTGACATGTTGTCCTTCATACTGAATTGAAGACAAGGTAGCTTTGGAAAAATACAAGATAAAATGTAGCTTGAAAAGCTAAAACTCATATGATCAATCATCCAAATTAAGTTTATGTTTGAGACAAGAGAGAATCACAGTCTAAAGATAGGTTCAGTCTGACTCAAGTGAATATAAAACTACAGAAAAGTATCATTTATCTCTATTGTAAGACAAGTCTCAGATGCTGTGAATGAACCTCTCCTCTCTCATGAAAGACATGAGGCTACAAGAGAAAGTGCACACAAAGCCAAGTATTGTATGCTGCACAGGTCAAAACTCAAGTGATGATACAGCAAAGACGATAAAGCATCTACATTGCATAGATAAACGTATTTTGTTGCTACATATGTCTTTATGAAGGGTTTGTCTTTGACCATGCAGCCAGGTAACATGAGTGCAACTATATATACATGGTTGTTCCAATTATACTTGTAGAATTACTACTAAATACTAGTCATTACGTACATTACTGTTATTATAAATGTAAAGACATTTTCTTTCCTGTTTTGAAACCACTGGAGCTGAGCAAGCGAGTAGAATCCTTGGAGGATCTTTTTTTATGAAAATCTCAGTTTGGAGGTTAAGCTGTATGTAAACTGTGTTTGTTGTTGGAGCCGGTCTAAAAAGAATTTCCGTTGGGACAGACGACAAAGTCTGTCTGTCTGTCTGTCATGAAGAACACAATGCTGTCGATGCTCCTTTAACCATAGGGACTTGTTGTTTCTCTGACTAATATAAATGCAGTCCTGCATGTTGTTATTCATTTATTTGTCCCACCAACTTAAATAGGCTCCCACGTCTTTTCAAATTCAAATGGCCTTGGATAGCTCAGAATGACACCTGGAGCAAACGCATAAATATCTTGTGAGGTGACCAGGCTTGGAGAGTCAAATAGGGCTGTCACACTTGCAGAAAACTCCTGAAATCTCCTGATATTTGCAGAAGGAGCTGCATGTGTGAACGCAAAACAGCCACATTTTTGTGTTCATACTTCACCCGGAGCTTCTCCTGCCAGAACCCTATTATTTTTTCCCTCAGCTGGTCAGAGAGGGATGAGAACTCAGCAGGATATTATAAGGTGAATTCCCCTCAAGCCAATGGGATGGGGGAGTGAAGTTTAGATCCTGTGACTGGAGTCTGTGCATAGAGTGTATATACACGCGACCACTATGATCTCCGTGCACATAATCAAACGGCTGCATTAGGTTTTCTGTTCGTCAGTATGTTGTTCTCCACTCATTTTGTTGACAGTACGATTAAATTGAACTACACGTAGCACCGATATAAAGGAAAATATTCCCTTTACAGTATCTTATAGCGGACTCTGTTGCTTCGTCTGCTAATTCCACGTCTTTTTTTTACATCACGTCTTACCTCAGGAGACGGGTGCCCTCCCTCCTGTCTGACAGGGATGGTCTCCCGCTATGAGGAGTATATGCGAACAGCCAGGTTAGGAGAATATCCGGAGCAGTCCTCATATGTGAAAACGGCTAGAGACTGTGGAAAGAAAGAACATGTCTCCAAGTGAAATCCAACAGGTTACATCTTGAGGACCTCTAAAATCCCTTTTCAAAACACTTTTATGTCTTTTTTTATTCTTTTTGAAATGTTTCAGGGCTTTACATAGCCTATACGACAGATAGGATACCCCATGCAATATGATATGATAAGGTGTTGAATATCTTAATGTATTGTATCAAATGTATTATTATGAAGTATTATACAGTTCATCAGTGCAGCTTCAATGTCATTGATATGATTCTTTTTTTCTAAATATAGCTTGTCACCTCATCAACTCAGATGAAGCCATAATAAGCAGGGGGTGTTTGGTAATACCACATACAGCGACAACGCTGGAGTCGGGTCAAATGATTTAACCCAATGTCTTCATTTCTTTCTTAATGACTATTAATACATTTAAAAATAGGAAAACAAGGGCTGATGTTGATGGGATATTTTTTATTTCTTCATCTTGATGTTATACTGTCTGGAGCTAAACTGGGTGTAGATGACAGTTTCAGTGATGTGTTACAAAGGTGAAGTGTTGGTTGCACCCCCCAAAGTGTGATGAGTCCCTGTTTAGCTAATGTTTTCACTAGAAGAAATAAACAGACATGCTAGCGAGAATTGTTTTGATTCATACTCCATGAATTTGTGCGTCTCTACTGGAGAGGAGATGCAGTGATATAAGGAACTTTAAATGCCAGGAATGTGGGCCATTGTGTTGATCAGCTCCAGAGGATTTATGAACATACCGACGGCGCGGTGTGTCTGTGGGCTGTTTAAACAAGATATTAATCAGTGGTAAAAGGAACAATGAATGGAAAAGGATATGGAGTGTTAACCCCAAACTAGACGAAACCCTTCTGCTCCATCATAACACAGACAGACCCTTATGAATTTAAACAATGAGAATGTGAATACCTGAGTGGCATACCAAGTATGTGTCATTCATACAATCCAATGGGAATTCAGTTATCTCAAAAGCAACAACATGAACAGTATCAACAACTTATTGGACAAAATACAACTCAAGTGACCTTTTCAAAAGTCCAAACAAACAAACAATGTTTTAAATATAATGTCACGGTGATGTTGATTTCTATGATGTGCAGTATTTTCTTGGAAGACAGGCGTGACTCAAAAAAATAATGTTACAGTGTGTTTTTCAGGCCTGTAAAAACATACACTTCTCTTGCAACCGCAGTTATGTCTTGCAGCACATCTCATATCTTGCTCTCCTGCTTGCATTAGCATTAATCACATTATAAAAATATCTCATCCACCCTGTCTCCTTCATGCTGAGTGAGTGTCCTGATCTTACAGGGTCTTTCTATTATTTTCGTCCAGGGAGAGGCTCCAGTCATTCTGTGGCCTATAGTTCCTGCTATTGTTCTTTATCTGCTTTATGGGATGCTTGTCCCGACCCCCCATGGCACGTTACTTTGCAAGTGACCTTGTCTATGAGCCTGACTGCTGGCCGCCCGAAAAACTCTCCTTGTGTCTCCTCCTTACCTCTCCCATCCCTTTCCGTTTGTAGCTCTTCTCCATCAATTACAGCGTCTCGTCAGGCTGTCTGTTTATGTACATTGTTGGACTTCATGAATCATGTTCCACTGAAGAATTCTTCCTGTACGCTCATGGATTTGTTGGAAATTTGTCTCAGAAGCCATACAAAACATCTGCAGGGGTTAACAGGCAGGCACAACACAGGAATTTGTCTTACAGCCCTTTGATGTGTTGAAAAATAAATATTTTATGGTAGCCTGTCAGGCTCTATTATTTAGCCACTACAATAATCAAACAATTGTTGCATTCTTTAGCCAGTGTCAAACCCGTTTTGTTCTTGCCTGTACATGTGATTATCCATATCTTGATTTCCTTGATCTTTGCCAGAGATGTAAGTAGATTTTCCCTCTGATGTTCACATTCGTATGCATCTGAGGCCATGATCATAAAGCCTGATGTCAATCTTTCTTTCATATATTACTTTTTCTTAAACTGGTGTTAACTTAGCTTGAGCCCCGTTGGATCTGAAATGAGTTCCTGATTTCCTTTTCACTCTTGATGAACATCTCCTGACCTCCACCACACCTACATCAGTCAAGTCCATTCATCAAACATCTGGGTCATCCATCTCCTGGGCGGGTGAGGCGGCCCCCGCCTACGTACTCAGGCTCCCCAAGGAAGTGTGTGTGCGCAAATGAAGCATCCTCCACAATTAGGTTTTGTGTTCTCATTAAAGGAACAACAAAGACGATGTCTTAAGGGCGTAATGTATTTTAGCTTAAATTAAGCACATGATCATACTGCCAGGTCTATTTGATGAAGTGGAAGGTGGATTATGTAAAGTCATCTGTTGGTGATGGGTGGTGCGCTTAAAAGAGTGCAATGACTGCTAGCTCTTTCACATTGGAGACCAAACAAACCAAAAGGGACAATAAAAAGGTCAACACCTTTCCTTAGCAGCATGTCTATCATCTGAAGAGAACAAAAGGTGAGATGTGAATTCCCATCTGACCTTATTTCCTTAGCTGATAGTGCGTTGTCCTGTCCGTCGCCTTTCATGATATGGAGCCATACATGAAACAAAAAACACTTTTGTATTTACTCTCGTGGAGTATTTCTGAAAAAATGTACTATTTTTCTGCAGTTTTTTTTTTATCACTAACAGGGAAACAACTAGATTAACTGAATCATGTAGAGGGGCTGTTTTCAGAGGGTCAGTCTGCCTAAGGGATGTGTCACTTCCTCACCCATGCCAAAGCATTGTGCAGCTCAAGTACACAATTGCGACACAGCCTTGAACCACATTGAAAGAACCACTGCTGCATTGTCTGCTTCAACTGAACTCTTCTATCAACACGTGATTTGCTTACTACCCTCAGAGCACAACAG